GGGCTGGTGTCTTCCTGCAGATGGGCTGGGCTCCTCCCACTTGGATGGGGTTTCAAAGAAAACACTGTGCTGAACAGCTGTCCTCACCCTGGGTGAGGACTCCTGGGGTCCATTCAAGATGTCCATTTGCATATCACAGATGCACCGACTCCACAAGGCAGTCCCTCTGCTCCGTCACTCCCTGCCCACCTTCCTCTTCCATCCCAAGGACAAATTTACAGAAAGTGGTAGAAGGACCAGGCTGACCTGGTGAATCAGGCAGGTGCTATTGTAGGCTGCAGAAAATTACAGAAGGTGCAGAGAAGGTACAGAGAAGGTGTGGGCTCTTTGAACAGGATGAATGAGCATGGGGTTCAGAAATATTTCATTCCTATTCCACAGACACCAGGCAGATCTGGTGGTGTAGTAATAAGAAACTGTGCTACTATACCAAAGGCATGTGGTTCGAATCCACCAGTGGCTCCATGGAGAAGGATGGACAATTTCCTCCTCTATGATTTACTGCCATTGAAAACCTACTGGAGGGTCAGCTATGAGTCAGTTCCAACATGACAGCACACAACCACCACAGATCCCACCTCTATGTGCCTGTATCTGCTCTGTTTACTCGGGGGCCAACAGAATCCAGTCGAGACACCTCTGCCTGGCATTCAAGGCCCCGTTGTACATGCCCTCCCTGCCGTGTAGAATTCCCACTGCCCCTGCCTCCCTTGTGAACAGCTCGTTCATCCTGCTGCAGGAGTCTGCAACTCTGTCTGGTTTCTCAAGGACATCCTGTTGTCCTCCACAGGCCTGTCCTGGAGAGGAAAAGGGCCCTGGCCACCTGGACTGGGCCACAATGAAATAGGACAGCAAAGGACGGAGACAGAGAGGAGAGGGGGCAGGTTCCAACCACACTCAAAGGCACAGGAGCTGAGGGCCAAAGAAATGAGACTGGTCTGGGCCCTCCAGCCAGAGTAGGAGGCAGACCCCATCAAGCTGGTGTCAACACATTCCCCGGGAGATTGTCCTAGAGTCGAGAGTCTCAAATTGGAGAGCTCCTTTTGTACCCTAACTCCCAAAGACCCTATGCCTGATCATGTACTCATATATTCATCTGGCCTCTCTCTATTTGTATACCTTCAGTGACACTGAGCTCACAACGTCTACAGTTAGCCTCTTCTATTCTTGGGAGGTTCTGTTGAAAAGCAAGCTTTACTTTTCTTTTTTTTTTTTTAACCACAGAGCTGAGATGCACCTACCTAGAACTCCCACCTGTTGAGCCCACAGCTTCCCCCTGGATCCCACAGCTTCCTCCCTCCAGGAATCTGAATACAGGGCTTATGTTCAGCACACCTTCAAGTTGCTCTTCTCTGCCCCCATATTGTCAGAGCAGCTCCTCACACTGTGCCCTGACTGTTCTCCAAAGGACCACGCCACGGTGCCCGAGAATAGTCAAAGCCCCCCATGCACCCACGTCCTAACATTGCCCAGTGTGCTCCGGAGTCTGCCTGACTGCCACAAGAAATCACAAAACCTGTGCTCTCCAGAAGGAGCTCATCTGTGATGACAAAGACAGCGTAATTTATTCACATCCTCCCGCCTGCATCTCATCAGCCTATAGAGGCTGCAAGGCAGAGGCTGCCAGAGCCCAAACGGGCCCTCCTCAAACAGCTCTCTTTGGGAACAATCAGAACCGCATTCTCTACCAAAGCCCTCCCTGGATTCCAAAGGGACACTCAATCAACGAGTTTTACTTCCATTCGTGTAAAGTCATAAATTTTAAATGAGATTTCATCAATCCTTTTCAGGCCTAAATGAATAAACCAGTAAATCACATTTCATCCTCCTCTCTCTCTGCCGTTCCCTCACCCGCTCTTTCAATAACTACAATTAAGAAAAACTGTCTGGGAAAATACAGTCTTTGTCACCAACTTCCTGCCAGAAAATATCATCCCTTTTATAAAAGAGACTGTTCTTTCGATGTTAAAATGACATTTTACGGATGTTTTCTTTTCCTTTTCAAATGTATATACAGTAAAATGCACTCTTTGGTGTATTATTCTACAAGTTTTAACAAATGCATAGTTGGTAACCATCATCTTAATCAAAATATAGATCAGTTATTTTAAAGTATTCCATGTGCTGCTGCTGCTGCTGCTGCTGTTGTGTGTGTGTTTCAGAATTCCTGCTCAAAACATAAAGCAGTTTTTGGCCACAGAAGCTCCTTACAATCAATACTTGAAATAGCAATAATTGCAATAACACTGTCACTTCCTGAGCATTTGCTATGAGTTCAGCACTCTCCCCTTGTTTAAAGATATTAACCATTTGACCTCCCCAGCAATCCTGTCAGATGGAGAAGCTATCCAGGGTTGCTGTTGTTATTAGGTGCCGACAAGGGGATTATTGACTCATATTGACTCATGGCATTGAGGAGAACTGCCCCTGGCCTGCAGGGAGTTGTGTTGCTGATCTAGAGAGCTGTGCCTCTCTGGCAGCTGGAATCCATCAGTAGCTCTGCAGCAGAAAGATGGCCGATTTCCTCCCTTTTGATTGACAGCCTCAGAACCCCAAAGGAGGGTCAGCTAGAAGTGGGTTCCGGGTCAACAGCCATGAGTGAGAATCTTTATGTGAGCAGATTGCCAGATCTTTCTCCTACAGAGCTGCTGGGCAATTCGAACCACCAGCCTCAACTTTTCAGTTATCAGTGCTTCGTCACTGTGCCACCTGATCTTCTTTACTCGGGGCCAGCTAGCCTTCAAGAGGGGAAAGGCGAGAGAATAGTCTAAAAGTATTATATTTTAGGGCATTTTTTAAAAATTTAGGTTGTTTATTTTTCATTTCAATGAACATCTACAGAGATTTTGGGATTCCATTCATTCATTGTTGCACCATTCTCCCCGCACAAACCCCTCCCCCCTCCCCCCATTTGCTCCTCTCCTTGAAAAGCAAAAGAAAAACTCCCTCATTGGTACACAA